TGAGAGTGTGTGTGTGAGAGTGTGTGTGTGTCTGTGAGTGAGTGAGTGTGTGTGTGTGTGTGTGAGTGTGTGTGAGTGTGTGTGTGAGAGTGTGTGTGTGAGAGTGTGTGTGTGTGTCTGTGAGTGAGTGTGTGTGTGTATGTGTGTGTGTGTGTGTGAGAATTGGGTTTGTTGTACCTGTTCCTCTCCTAGTGTCTGCTAATCAAAAACTCACAGTGATTTTCAGCTGGGCAACAGGACAGTGCCATCAAATGAAGGACTAGTATCTGTCACCATCTGAAGATCACAACGCGTTGAGCTGGAAGCTGTTCTATTACGTATTAAATAGCAGCCATTTTTAGTTTTCCAGTTGTTAAAAAGTTCAAAGCTGAAGGACTATTTTGTCTATTGGCACTGATTTAACAGCTTCTCATTGGATGCAGTGGCTTTCTCCACATTTAAAGCATCACATGAGTCATAGACTGCAAATCGTGTCTAGTTGAACTCTTATTGTTGGTGATTTGTAATGGCCACAGTGACTCAGACTCGTGTCTAGGTCTTGTCTAGTTAGTTCTCACCTTAGAGCTTGCTTTGTGTCTCAGCTTTCCTCTGTGGACACTTGCCATCCTGTGGAAGTACTACTATAAGCACTGATCGATCGACCAGCATTGGCCTGGATCTGGTGCTTGACGATCGGCCGATCCTGCACAGATTCAAGGCCAGTGTCATTGTAAAGACAGCACACACTGTACAGTGTTCAGGTTCAGTTGAGAGGATCTACAGATCGGGCCTTGAGGCCATTAGCACATTTGACAGTGAAGCACTCTGCAGGAGTTGGGCTGCAGTTGTAAATTTACTATCTTTAATAACAGTAAAAAAAAATGTATACGGTAAATTTTCTGTTCATGCGACTGAGTGACAGTTAAATAAATATAATTATAAGATATCACTAAATTGTGAAAAGCCTTTTATAATTTGACGTTATGTCAGATAAGGAATATGTGCAGAATGTGTAGCGCTGAGTTTCACTACTTTAAATCATTGGTATTGTGCATAACTCAACCCATGATCAGGACATGTTTATCAAACAGACTCCAGCAAAGTTGACACGTTTCCGTTTGTTGCCTAAAGGACATCATAAACTCATGTGTCTTGAGGCTTATCTGCTAATCGACACAAATAATGTTTCTTTATGACAGCGGTTACTTAACCACGGCCACTGCTTCATCTGTGTGTGTCAAACTCTCTCGCTGATGGACTGCTCGTCTTAGTTTATCATCATGCAAAGATCATAAAGCACAAGCTTTTCTACCAGCTTATGTTGAAACACTGAACGTAATGGTAGGATACGAGAAAATGAAAAACACAGGTGTCCACACATCATAAACACTGACATTAACGAATGTGTTATGGATCCATTTGAATGCAGTTTAAAATGAACTAAGGTCAGTGTCATAAAGAAAAGCAGGCTTGTATGCATTGGACAGTGCAGCTCTCAGCGCAGCGACTGGATCAGCTGTTAGTCTGCCGTGAGCTTGTGCTTCTGACGCCGCTGTCTGTAGTTTTCAGATGTCTGAGGACGTCTATGAGAAGTTCCTGGCTCCAGAAGAGCCGTGTCCGCTGCTGTCTCGGAGAGGGAACCTCAGTGAAGATGCTACGCTGGACGTCAGTGACTTCGGCTGTCAGCTGTCCTCGTGTCACCGCACAGATCCGCTCCACCGCTTCCACAGCAGCAGGTCAGTGTTAACCATGTTCCGAACAATACACACTCCAACTCATGATCAGCTCATCCAGTCTTATCCAAGATAAAACAATGTTATCAGAGATGAAGGCATGATGTTTTTCTTTTGTTTTTGTTGTAAATGAATCACATAATGCTAAACAGTCTGTAATATAAACCACAGACAGTGGCTATGAGGAGCTACTGGAGCGGCTGATGCTGAGAAGGGCTCACTGGACTGTAAGGACACAGTCTTCTGATAGAGAAGCACTCATAGTGCTGCTGTGCCTCCAGGAACAGGGTTGGTTTTTAGCGTCACTTTAGGACACTTTAGATCAGGATTCCTCAAAGATCCACTGCCCTCCAGAGTTCAGCTCCGGTCCTGAATGATGTGTGTGCAAGCTAATCAAGCTCCTCAGGATCACTAGATAGTTACAGGTAGATGAGTTTGATCAGGTTCAACTCGTGCACTGTATTCTGAAGTCTTCTGAAGCCATACAGGGTCAGGGTCATTTAGAGCTGCTCCACACAAACCGTTGGAAACATCTTCCATATTTAAATGGATTTCCAGTTCTTCCAACCTGAGAAATATGACCCATGTGTGCTGTTAGTCGATTAAAAAAATAACGAATTCATCTCAAGATTAAATGCACCTAACATTAAACTTTGTAATTATACATATGTTTTTAAAATGTATTTGTGTATGTATTTAAATGTGTTTACATTTAATAGTCCTAAACTGTTACAGAACATTAAACATGTTCTAACTTTTGATTTAACTGTGGTGTTAATAGACTCTCATGAACGTGCAATCGTGCACTGAACACAAACAGACAAGGTCAAGATTTCTGTTTCCCCCAAACCCTGTGCATCTGGGGGTTTTTTTTAAGTTTGATGCTGGTCGTGATTCACTGCTGTTATGTGGTTGAGCACGAGGAGGTCATTTAAAGTCTGTGTAAAGGCAATTCAGAGAATTGTTTCTAAACGCATTATAAATGTTAGAAATGTAATGCTGAAAACACGTTACAAAGACTGTGAACTATATAGTAATGAATTATGGAGTTGAGTCACCATTTTTGTGTTGAGTATTTTGTGGGGGGGGGTGAAATCACATCTCGATGATGCACTGGAGTCATGGAGCACGGCCCCTCCTCTAACACTATAATAACTACAGCACATCAGCATCAGTGCTTCTCCCGCTCAATCACCAGTTACTTACTACAGCAGGGGTGTCCAACCTCGGTCCTGGAGGGCCGGTGTCCTGAAGAGTTTAGCTCCAACCCCAATTCAACACCTGAAGCAGCTAATCAAGCTCTTACTAGGCATACTAGAAAAATTAAAGGCAGGTGTGTTGAGGCAAGTTGGAGCTAAACTCTGCAGGACACCGGCCCTCCAGGACCGAGTTTGGGCAGCCCTGTACTACAGCCTACAGTTTGCTAGCTAGCTATGCCTTCATCACGTAAATGCATATTACCAAACAAGTATGTCTGCGTAGATCCAGTCAAGCTGCTAGCGGGAGCATCAGTTCAGGTTGTTGTGCATTTGACAGCTTTCCAGCGAGTGGGCGTGGCTTCAGCGCCGGCAGCAGACACGCCCCCAGCATTTCAGAGCAGATAATACTGCTTATTTGTTTTCAAGATTTTGATAACTATTTTTTTTTTACGTGTTTTTTTTTTTCCCCATTCAAATTTAGCTGGGTGGTTAATACATTTTTCTATGGTTTGACAAACTCACTACACATATTTAATATTGCTTTACACAGACTTTAAAAGAAATCTCCTTTTGTGGTCCAAAATAGAAAGAAGGGTTTACTACAGAAGAACAACACCGTAAATGGCTTGATTTAAATTTTTGGGTGAACTAACAGTTGAATCGTGCTGCAGATGAGTCTGTAGTGTCTCTTGCCTCTCAGAGCCAAAACAAGAGCTTGGTGAAGCTGCCTTTGTCTCTCTGGGATATACACTTTTTAGGGGTTCAAGTGCAAAGTGCTGAAAACCTGTTGTATTTGTAAGGATTTTTAGGGCCCTTCTTCTTCTTCTGCTCTAGAGCTCTATGGCAGCCCATAAAACCGCTTGCGGGAAAGTTGTGAAATTTGGCACACAGATCGAGGACAGTCTCAACATTAACCACAGCGAGTTTGGAGTCTCTAACTCTATAGTGTCAGCAACAGCTCAAAGTTTCACTCATGTTTATGCTAATAACTTTTAAACCATAGGTTTTAGAAGCAAAATTATTTTTTCCTCCGATTCCTTGGCTCATGCCGAGTCAAATGGACACCAAAATGTAAAATAATTTTTTATAGTTTTTAATTATTCGAAAAACCTACTTTCAAAACTCGTCCTAGACGGTTTGTCTGATTTTCACCAAAATTGGCTCAGATCATCTTCAGACCATTTCCTCTGTAAATGTGTCAAATTCATTTCCATTTTGCATGAAAATACTTGACTTTACAGACGTCTCTGAATGGGTGAGAGATACCAGTCAAACGGACTGAGAGCAACAGAAAGGCTGTGCAACTAATCTGACTAAAATAATGAACACTCGCTGTTGGATGTTAAAGGGATGGTTCACCCTCAAAAAAAACGAAAATCATGAAATGAAGACTTTACTCACCTTGGTGTTGTTGTAAAGTTATCTGACCTTCTTTCTTTTTGGAAGACAAAATGAGAAATGTAAAAGTATCATGCTTGAGCTTGTTTATATAGTGACCAGCTTCAAGCCATAATAGTATCATAAAATGGTCCATACAACTCCTTCCATATTTTCATATGATGGTGTTAAGAGAAAACAACCTGAAATATCATGTATTATAATTTATCAGAAATCTGCAGCAGTTGTTTGCTCTCCTGTGCGCATGCATGAGTGCAGCGGTTCACGTCTGCACATTCAGGAAATGCACACAAGCGCTGTTTTGAGAAATCAAGATTAATAAACGCGTAACACTATCTCCTGTTAACCACAACAAAGATGCATGTGCTGAGGTCAATAATCTTTGGTTTCAGCTAGTGATGGGAAAAACAAACCTTTTTGAAGCTTCAAATCAATTGAAGCAATTGCTTCGCAAAATGATTCACAGTTTCGAAGCATTCAAAACGCATGCCGCTGGTCAAACTGTGCAAATGCAACAAAAACTCATGTCAAAACGTCCATTAAAAACAGCTTTTGCAAACTCAATGTATAATATATTAAATGCAAATAAAATAATAAAATACCGTTAAATGTGAAGTGTCTATATAATGTTTTTAAAAAAAAATTTATTTTAAAATTAATTTGCAGGGCTTGTTTTGTCTGTTTTATGGAGAGCTTGTCTAAACATGCCAGTAAGAGTCTATTAACTACTACTCAACCTTTTAATTACACAAATGTCTCATTAAAATTGATAAAGCTGATCCGAGATCAGGCAGAAACCGTAGACGCTGGTTCACAGGTTCTCCGAGATCACCGCCCCCTGAAGATGAACCATTGGGATTTTTTTTTTCATATATATATATCATTGAGATTTCTAGATGTTTCGAAACAGTTAGGACGTAATGAAGCCTCGTTTACTGAAATCACGTGACTTCGGCAGTTTGATTCGCGCCCCGAACCAGGGTTTCGAAACAAATGATTCCGAGATGTTTGGAAGCTTCACAGAGCAGCATCCGTCCCTGAAGAGGGTTAGACTGTGCACCGTTAGCTGTACACTTTAACAGTCAGTGATGGTGTGTGTGTGCAGTCAGGGGTCACTGTGGTCAGTCAGTGATGGTGTGTATGTGCAGGTGGCACCTGACCTCCTGCGGCACCAGCGTGGCCAGCTCAGACTGCAGCGAGGAGCTCTTCTCCTCCGTGTCTGTGTGTGATCAGGACGACTGCTACTCGCTGCTGGATGAGCAGGAGCTGGCCTCCTTTGAGCTGTTCCCTGAGGGCAGCGTGTGCAGTGACGTGTCCTCCTCCATCAGCACTTACTGGGACTGGTCCGACAGCGAGTTCGAATGGCAGGTGAGTCGTCTCTGGTGATATCTGTGTAGATGTCACGGTAACTGTGTTGTATTTCCTAACACGTGGGTGGCTGTGTGGTTGTAGTTAGCAGGCAGTGATATAGCCAGCGGCAGCGATGTGCTCTCCGACATCATTCCCAGCGTGCCCAGCTCACCCTGCCTCCTGTCCAAAAGAAGAAACAAACCGCACCGAAACCTGGACGAGCTGCCCTGGAGCGCCATGACCAACGACGAGCAGGTCTCAAACACTCGCACTGAAATCTTAGATTGTCATGCTGATTATATAATTTGTAATGAAAAATCTTTAATTCGACATAATTAGGAAAGAAAGGAAGCAGCCTCACTGCGTTTACTTGTGTTATTCTGTTTTGAAGTCAAGCTTCTGTTCGTGTCTATGTGCGCTCACTTTGTTGACTTTGATGTTTCAGGTGGAATATATTGAGTATTTGAGTCGAAAAGTGAGCACAGAGATGGGACTTCGAGAGCAGCTGGACATCATAAAAATAATCGACCCGAGCGCACAGATTCTGCCGACAGACAGCGAGTTCATCATTGAACTAAACTGCCTCACAGATGAAAAGCTCAAACAGGTGATTAAAGCCACTCCACATCTGCTGCAAACAAACGGCACTCATCCATCAGTGTGGCCAGCTTATTAGCAAACTATCTGTAATGCGCTATACATCTTTTAAAATCTAAACACATTTTAAAACACAAGGTATAACACTTTGTAAGTCTATAACAGAGAGAAACTGGGCTTCATACTTTAAACGGCTGAGGATCACACACTACCAGACTTTCAGATCGCTCCGAGCACAACACACTCATGAAGAAACATAAAATATCAGAGTCTGTGTCCATTGTGCACGATGTGATTTTCTGTGAAATCTGTAAACTCGGAATCAGAAAGAGCTTTATTGCCAAGTGTGTTCACACACCTAATTTGTCTTGGTGTCAGGAGCTTCCAGTGCAGAAAGTACAGACATAGTGCAGACATACTTATTATTTAAGGTAATAAAAACACTAATAATAAAGAGAACAGACACTAAATTATAAATAACAATATAGTAATCCAAAACTCGTCCTGACAGCAGAGCAGTGCAGGAGTCGTGTAGTGTTTTCCAGCGATTATCTCTAACAGCCAGATCAGATCGCTTCAGCTGCTTTGATGTTTCCACTGTTGTTCAGGTGCGGAGCTACATCCGTGAGCACAGTCGACGGCAGCAGCGCAGCGTGAAGAGGAGCCTGGCGAGCAGCAGCAGTAACACCAGCATCACCAGCAGCAGCATCAGCAGCAGCAGCAGCAGCAGTGCCTCCAGCATCAGCCGCGCTCACAGCGACAGCAACCTGGCCTCCGCTGCAGAGAGGATACGAGACTCCAAGGTGCTCCAGCACTTCTGCAGCACAGCAGGAAAAACTACACGAGACCGTCTTAATGCACACACACGGAAACGACTCTCATGAGCAAAAACAAACAAGATATCAGTGCGAGTTACTGTTAATGAACGCCTCTTCACTGCATGAACTAATTAACAGTAACTCTCAGTGATATCTGTTTGTTTTTAGTACTGATATTTACATATTTGTAGATATGAATATTTTAGATTTAGATATTTGCATATAATCCACAAGAGAAGTCAAAAACTGGATTTACACAAGTCAATCCCGTTTAAATGTTTGTGTTCTGGTGGAGCTGCCTTCGCTGTCAGTGAGTGTTGTGTGTTTTGTGAGAGTCCTCAGCAGTGAAGCTGTCGACGGTAAGCTTCAGATCAGGGCTGTCCTGCAGAGTTTAGGTCCTGCCTAGATGTTCCCAGTGAGTCTGGAGAGCTGGTGATCTGATTCAGGGGTGTTTGACTGGGAACAGGGCTGAATCTACACACTTGAGCTCTTCCCAAAAATTAGCAAATTATGTTGAGATACAGCTTTTCACACTTAGGACATTTCTGAGACTCAGACACAAAAGGTGCTGATATTTATTGATGCTGAAGAAGGTAAAACCATTTAAGAACCGAGGCGATGTAAACTACCAAAATAATTTTGAATTAGGGTTGGGTATTGTTTGGGTTTGTTTCGATACCAGTGCCAAATAGATACAAAACGGTGCCTGAACCGATACTTATTTAAAAATAAATAAATAAAAATTCCCCCAAAAATGATGAATTGGCCATTAGCACTATAAACACATGTCTGTTTCATTCATACTGGACGCCAGAGGGCGCCCTTGCACAGAAAATCCACATCCAGTCACAGAAGTAGATAACTCATGACCCTCCAGGAAATCCCTTCTATGGACAAAGGCATGGCTATTATATCTGTAACTGAATGATAAAACAAAGACAATAAACACTCAACTGCGACAATATAGTTTATCTGTGTTATTCAAGCCATCTCTGGTATTTTCATAATAATTAAGTATATTTATAATCCATTGCTAATCGATGTATTCTTTTTAAAGTAGCCTATGGAACATATTTTCTGCCTCATTCTGTGACAAGAAGCCTCATCAGATCACAAAAGGAAGCATTTAAAAGGTTATAACCACAGTAAAAAGGTTATAATGTTCTCTTTTGTTGGACAACAAGTTTAGAAATGTGAATACAAGGGAGGTTTAGCTTTAGGCGTTTTAATTTAAGCACGTTTAGCTTAGTTAACGGAAGGCTACCTGCTGCCATCAGAGCAAGTGTAATTACTGCTTTCACGCGCTCCTCGAATGCTCACATTTCCCGAGTTGTGCTTTTAAGTCGGAATGTGAAAACAACATGGACACTCTCGTTACTACAAAGATTTTTTGGATTTATATTATTAGAGTTTTCCGACTTGAGTTCACATGCATTTTCTCAGTGGGGAAATTATTTTTCATGTGCGGTGCCGGTGATGATGCTTTACGTCCGTTTCGGAGAACCAGAGGACAAATATTTCAATCGATCGCTCGGGCATGGCACCGAAATCTGCGTTCGGATTCGGTTCTAATACATACCGGTTACATAGGTACTGGTGCCATATTGGTACCAGGTTTCGGTATCCAACCATATATATATATATTTTTTTTTTTTTCCTCGTGGTATTTAATCACAATGCTATAACTTAATCTTCTGGTGAAAATGACAGATGCTATTTCAGTGGCTTTAATTAGGTTCAAACGTGCCAAAGACACTGTAGAACTGAGCTGAAATTTGAAAAAAAGACTTTTAAGATGGTTTAAGATGAACTGATAAAGATTGTTGGCCAGTCGATCGGTGCATCCCAGCTTGAGATGCTTTGCTATTCTTACCAATAAAAGCTGGTGGTGTTTTGCAGAAGCGCTCCAAGCAGAGGAAGCTGCAGCAGAAGGCTTTACGCAAGCGTCAGCTGAAGGAGCAGAGACAGGCTCGTAAGGAGAGACTGAGCGGTCTGTTCCTGAACGAGGAGGTGCTGTCTCTCAGAGTCCCGGAGGAGGAGGACCACTGCGACGACCTGGACGTGCTGATGTGACCCCAGTGACCCTTCAGTTCTCCTTCTACGCCTCTTCCACATCAGTGTATAAGGTGAAGTTAGTATGACTTAACTGCTTTGCTGAAATGTCTGCATATTCTTAATTTTAACAGAATAAAATTAAATTATGACGACGTCAAACTGCTTTTGTGTCAATTGATCATAGACTGTCTTGACATGAAATAATTTCAGCGTTTAAATCCACGATTACTTTAGTTTCTTTTGATAGTTTATGCTACAGTAAGTGTAGTCTTGACATTCATGTGAGTAATTGTGCTTTTTAATGTCTATGAACATTTATGTATAATCTTATTCAATGACTGTGTCAGCTCACCTCAAATGTAGAGCGATTTATATATGTTTTAATAGCTTTAAAGTCAACATGAAATCAAGCATTTACACACTTATTGTGCACAGTTCATCAGTACACCTTATTCTAAATAAATAAACTGTCCGATGAAAGTTTACAAAACTTGTTCCGTCTTTGAAAGGACTAGACTTTTAGGCAAAGCTACTTGTTTGGAAGTATCCCCTTCAGGACTGGCAAACTGTTATAATAAAGCCAGTTCTGCCATTCGTGAGCTTTCCAAAACTTTCGCTCTACAATAGACCGGGAAAAATGCTTGCTTTTTCCATCCACTCTTGCAGTGTTCAAACCCATATATTAATTATATACCGAAAGCGAGCAAAAAATTTACATTGTCACATTATGTAATCTCTCAAACAACTCCCATTATTATCACTGAAGCTGCCTACACTGGGAAATTAATCTCTTACTTACATTGCACATGTTGTTTATGATGAGAAAATTCACGAGAGAGCAGAATTCAGTCAGCGAGCGCGCTCACTGAACAAAATTCCAGCTTTTCAGCGTGACTCATCTTAACTCTTCTGATTGGTCATTGCATTCATAAACTCAACAGAATCGTGTGTGATTGCTTATAATGCGCAACGCTTGTTTAGGTCAGAACTTGTTTGCTTACAAAAGTTTTTTGTTGTTGTTGTAATTTAAGCTTCATTTTATTGCAAATGTGCAATTCAAGCAATTATTTTCCCAAAAATGTTATTTAGTTGAAATGTCTAAAGAACATATTTTTATTTCTTACTCCATCTCTAAGACATCTACGTAGATGTTTTGATCCAGACGGAAATGTAACTGTATAAGGTGAAGTTAGTATGACTTAACTGCTTTGCTGAAATGTCTGCATATTCTTAATTTTAACAGAATAAAATTAAATTATGACGACGTCAAACTGCTTTTGTGTCAATTGATCATAGACTGTCTTGACATGAAATAATTTCAGCGTTTAAATCCACGATTACTTTAGTTTCTTTTGATAGTTTATGCTACAGTAAGTGTAGTCTTGACATTCATGTGAGTAATTGTGCTTTTTAATGTCTATGAACATTTATGTATAATCTTATTCAATGACTGTGTCAGCTCACCTCAAATGTAGAGCGATTTATATATGTTTTAATAGCTTTAAAGTCAACATGAAATCAAGCATTTACACACTTATTGTGCACAGTTCATCAGTACACCTTATTCTAAATAAATAAACTGTCCGATGAAAGTTTACAAAACTTGTTCCGTCTTTGAAAGGACTAGACTTTTAGGCAAAGCTACTTGTTTGGAAGTATCCCCTTCAGGACTGGCAAACTGTTATAATAAAGCCAGTTCTGCCATTCGTGAGCTTTCCAAAACTTTCGCTCTACAATAGACCGGGAAAAATGCTTGCTTTTTCCATCCACTCTTGCAGTGTTCAAACCCATATATTAATTATATACCGAAAGCGAGCAAAAAATTTACATTGTCACATTATGTAATCTCTCAAACAACTCCCATTATTATCACTGAAGCTGCCTACACTGGGAAATTAATCTCTTACTTACATTGCACATGTTGTTTATGATGAGAAAATTCACGAGAGAGCAGAATTCAGTCAGCGAGCGCGCTCACTGAACAAAATTCCAGCTTTTCAGCGTGACTCATCTTAACTCTTCTGATTGGTCATTGCATTCATAAACTCAACAGAATCGTGTGTGATTGCTTATAATGCGCAACGCTTAAAAAGAAATATGATGTGATATTCTCAGATAATGAGAAATCAACATTTTTCATTTCATTTTCACTTTATACGCGACAGCCGTAATAGATTTAGTTTAATTGTGCAGGGGCATTTTTGTCCAATTTGATGGTATTTTTTCCTCATGGACCCGAGGCCAGGGGAAGGCTGTATGATTCAGAGAGAGAGCGGTCCAAATGTGTTCGGCAAACAGAGAACGGACTCAAAAGAATGATTAAATCATGAATGATTGGGATCGCTGGTTCATTCGACAGAACGGTACACAAGCAATCTCAGACCTGACCAGGTGATAAAGGTTCTGCAGTCCATGTGGAATCTCTGGAGGAACATCTATCTTTCCAGAACTTGACTTAAGTATAACAAGCTCATGGTGGCTCATAAACTCCAAGTAATCAAAGGTAAGTGGTTGCTGATTTATTGCAGATTGCAATTTGTTCAGAAGTCTCTCCAAACAAATGCTCTCTAAGTATATCCTGTGGAATACAGATCAAATTAAAGGATCGGTTCACTTCCAGGATAAACATTTACTGATCATTTAAGATGTGCATGTCTTTCTTCAGTCGAAAAGAAATGAAGGTTTTTGAGGAAAACATTCCAGGATTTTTCTCCATATAGTGGACTTCAATGGGGCAGCTTCAAAGGGCTCTACATGATCCCAGTCGAGGAATACGAGTCTTATCTAGTGAAACAATTAGTCGTTTTCTCAAAGAAATAAAAATGTATATACTTTTAACCACAAGTGTTCTTCTTGCACTAGCTCTGCGATGCGCATCTGTGACTTTACGCATTACGTAATCACGTTGGAAAGGTCATGTGTGGAGAAGGAGGACCGTTCAAAAGTTGAATATCCTGTGGAATACAGATCAAATTAAAGGATCGGTTCACTTCCAGGATAAACATTTACTGATCATTTAAGATGTGCATGTCTTTCTTTCTTCAGTCGATAAGAAATGAAGGTTTTTGAGGAAAACATTCCAGGATTTTTCTCCATATAGTGGACTTCAATGGGGCAGCTTCAAAGGGCTCTACATGATCCCAGTCGAGGAATACGAGTCTTATCTAGTGAAACAATTAGTCGTTTTCTCAAAGAAATAAAAATGTATATACTTTTAACCACAAGTGTTCTTCTTGCACTAGCTCTGCGATGCGCATCTGTGACTTTACGCATTACGTAATCACGTTGGAAAGGTCATGTGTGGAGAAGGAGGACCGTTCAAAAGTTGAATGTTTAAAATGGTCTGTCCGTGTGTGTATCCTGGATGTTTAAATCTTTTGAAACCCTTCTTTTTTGTAATGGGGTGTTTGACAGTCTTTGCAAGTTCGCTTTGTAAACACTGGGTCTGTACTTCAGCCTACATTATTCCGTTGTAAAGGCAAGAATCACATGGCTCAAGAATGCAGCAAGAACTTTTGGGCCAAATGTGGCTGATAGCATGAGCACATATGGGCTAAATTTTCACCATATATATTTTGCCATGGCTTAAGAATTGTAGGGAATTTTCATTTGGATGACTATTTGTATTGAGGTATATGGCCCAGATGACAGCACACAACTAAGAAGCATATATGGCTTGGCTATGGCACACCGTGCAATATGTTAACTTATGGTTAACATTTGGTTTTTACTTGGGAAAAACACATGTAACCTGCTATAGTCATGTGTGACAGGTTTGTGGCAATCCACACCTATTCAACAATGCTATTGATTGCTGAACATCTTCTATGGAGGTAAATATGTGCCGAAATTAAACAAACAAATCCAGCTTTTTGCAAATAAACACAATCTGCTTTGCAAAGTAAAACTCGACTTTCAAACAAATGCAAAGTGATATGCAAATTCACAAGTCAATTTCAGAAAAAATGCAGAGATATAACAAATATATTTATTGTGTGTTGCAAATATATATATATATATATATACAAAAAAAATAAAACATTATTTTTCATAAATACAATCCATTCTACAAATTGCAGATGACCTTTGAACAAATACCAAATCCAGTGCATTCATATGCATACTGGTCTGTTACGATTGTGAGAGACCTGCAGTTTTATGTGGAAAACTTGGATATGTGTGCAGGCAGATTTTCTCACAAACGCAATGGAGCAACTTCCTCTTCCAAAACAGCAGATAGTGCTATTGGTCAATTTACTCTAGTCTCCCGAGGCCTGAAACACGTTTACCTTGTGTCCAGGAATTCAGTCGTGGAATATGAGCTTGGAACAGGTGAGTTTCTGACTTTAATAAACCTGTTTTGAGGTTTTCTTTAGCAAAATGTCTATTACATATCTACAGCCAGACATATTAGCAATCCACTATCTTTAGGATAGAGCCTGTATAGGGGAATGTGGTTATAGCAAACCACAATCGCGTTATAATAAACTATAAAAGGCTTATCAGTTTTCTGCCAAAAATAATGACTTTATAAAAACATCATGGACAAGTTAAGAAACTTTTTTTTTCATTTGTTTTGTTCATATTCATTTATTGTTATATTCCATTAATATAATAATAAAGTCAACTGTATTCCAACTAAAGGGGTAGCCTACTCAGTAGATAGGTGTGGAGAAAAGATAAGTGTTTTATTTCCCCTTGTTTAACTTTCAGATTCTTCTTAACAGGACTTAACCTTTGCAGAACACTAGTACAGTCCAGTGTTTTATTTATTTATTTTAATTTTTTTTTACCAGATTTTCATATCAATTAATCTCCCAGGTGGTTCGCACAATGATGGAGCGGCTTCAGTCGAACTTCAGCATATTCTCAGTCAACAACCTCTGGACTTTTTTACAGTTCATATGCACACAGGAGATGGTTTAGTGCATGTTCTTCCTGAGTGTATTGTGGATGGTCTCACAGAGCTGTACTGATTAGCAGATAAAAGTGTTCATTCAAGTCACTCACGGAGCAGCTGGACGTTCACGTTTTGATGTGTGGCCAGATTACCTGCTGCAT